ACAGAGGGGGGTGCAAGGGAGTTGGGGAAAGGGGGACCCTGTGGCGGGCAGCGGTTAACGGGGGTTGGGTTGCAGCGGTGCGGTCGGTGGGAGTCAGCGAGGGTTGTCTCGCTAGGGTGGTCGACATGGGGTGGGCACAGCGCCGCCAGCATGAGCCTGTCGCGGACCATGTGCAGGACACATTCAGGGCCCGCTCTCCTGTGTATCGGTACCTGGTTGTTGGCCAGAAGGTCGACAACAAGGGGGTCATAATGCTCTGTTGCACGTTTTGCAACAAAGTTTTCCAAGGGACCCAATTTCACGCCACGAGGCACTTCACACAGACAAACTACTGCAAGGACGTCAGCGACGAGGCGTTGTACGAGATCGTGTGACAGACTCAACAGAAGTTCGAGGCCGATCAGACAGAGAGGGTTGCCAAGTATGCAGCGGAGCGCGGACTCGATGTGCCGACACGGGTGGTGCAAGGGGAGGAGAGGCGGGGCGACGTCCGGTGGAGGGAGGGCTCGGGGGAGATGGTGGGCATGGTGCGCCAGACCCCCCTTTGGGGGTTGGAGGCGGTGAGACGGAGGAGGGCGTGATCCACGTCGATCGCGAGGTGCGTGGCCCGGGCGAGGAGGGAGTCTCGGAATACGAGGATGAGCCAAAGTTTCATCCAGGCACTAGGGAGAGGATGAAGGATTGGTGGAGGCGAGCAGGCAAGGGATCTGCAATGGAGGGGTCTTCCAAGAGGAAGGAAGGAGGAAGTGATTCGGCTCCCACCCCAACAGGAAAGAGGCTTCGCCAGCAGAAGGTGACTGATTTTTACGGTGGCGAGTGGGTTGCTCGCCTCAAGAAGACATTCCTTCGCTGGCTCTATTCCAGCGGGGTCTCCTTTAATGCCTTCCGCAACCAAGCTTGGAAGGCATATCAACAGGTGCTTCTTGAGCAGCCTGGCAGTTCCCCACGTGCTGTGCTCCCCAACCAAAGTGCGATTGCGAATATGCGGGCGGTGGAGACCCACCGTGCGGAGCTGGCGGAGGAGTTGGAGGAGGTGAGGCAGCCATTCAGGGTACCTGGTACCACCCTCCTCTCCAATGGGAGGAAATCACTAGACAAGAGACCGATCGTGAATTTCCTTGTCGCTGGCTCGCAAGGGGTCGTCGTGTACACGACAATCAATCGAGAGGGCGAGCCGGACGATGCAGTTGAAGTCCTTCGGAGATGGGTTACCATCTTCCACGAGTTCAGCTTCGGCGGCCCACAGTGGGTCAATGCGATATGCACTGACTCCTGCTTCTGCTTACGTGGGGGCTGCAAGGGCATTGGCCTCGCAGTCCATGCCTCTTGCACTGAGGAGGATCACTTGGCTCCGGTGCTCCGTCCGTGTCTGCAACAAATTGTTGTCAGACATGCGGACGAGTTGTGACGTGTTTGTGGACGCGATCACACGTGCTCGTGCGCTGCTGGTGTTTTTCAAAACCCACCAGGCCGCCCTTCATTGTTTTAGGACGCGCAGCCCCAACAAGGGCCTTATTCTTTCTTGCGATGCGCAGTTCACGTCTGTTTATTTCATGTTGGAGAGGCTGTTGGCCCTGCAAGACACTTTGCAGGACATGATGCGAGGGGATGATGCGCGGGTTTTTGCTCCCATCCCGTGGTCTGCCGACGTGTGCGTCATGGCTCGTTGGGTATGCCGACATATCAGATGGGAACCATTGTGGCAGACGGTGGCCACCATCATCCATATCATGCAGTCCGTCATGGAGATGCTTAGGCGGATAGATCGTGGAGGACAATACATGTCCCTGATGATCAAGTGGACACAGGATCTTGTCCGCCATGTCACGAACGCATGCGCCCCTTTGGGGAAGTCATTCGCCGATCAGATCATCAGGCGTGTGCAGGCTCGCACACAGCACATGCTTGGGCCAGCTCACTACGCAGGGTTCTTACTGAACCCCCACAGGCAACACGTTCGCTACTTTTCGGGCGAGGTTGATCGGTACCACGCTTGGCTTGTGGGGCAAGCCAAGAGGTACATTCTGACGCAGACGGGTTTCGAGTTGGAGGGTGCGGATTACATCCTTGCATGTCGGTAGTTTGAGCACTTCCACATTCAGCAGGGCAGGTTCGGCGTGCTCGAGGGCGCACGTGCAGCGGCGACGGCGAGACGATTGAGTGTGCGTCTTGGTGGTCTCAGTTCGGGGCGGGCGCGCCAGAGTTGCAGCGGTGCGCTCTTCGGGTGATGCACATGTGGTCTTGCGCCTCTCCCGCAGAGAGGAACTAGGCAGTCCACGAGGGCATTCACACGAAGAAGCGCAACCAATTGTGCGGTTGACGGAGTATCGGCGGGTTGGATGCGGTTATGTGTTGCCATGGCAGCGGGACGAGGGCATGCTGGATTGCCAGGCAGGACTCGAGGCGGAGCCTGTGCGGACGGGCATGCGTAGGGGGATGACGGAGGAGGAGATTGCCGGTCAGGTTGCGCTTATTACCCGAGATCCCATCGGGGCCTCCGCACCACCCTCTGCTGATGCCGTTTTCGGTAAACGTGCTTGCATTTTTCGTTCCTACCCGAGCGAGGACGACTCGGACGAGGAGCCAGTGCCCAAGGCGGCAGATGACCCTGCGCTCCGCATTCCCCGTGAGATCGACGAGACGCAGGACGATCCCGACTCCGAGGAGATGAGGGCAGACACTGCACGACGGGCGGCGGACAGGGTGGACAAGGAGATGCTGGGGGGAGAGGAGGAGTTTTGGGGCCCATTCGGGGAAGTCGCTTCCACGGGCAGCACATAGGCGTGGATGACGACCCCCACTCCGACGAGGCGGGAGTCATCCATGTCGCCACCTCCTGCTCCGAGTCCTGCACCACCATCGCCCGTCTCGCCACTTCAACCGGCCACGGCAACGGCGGACACGAAGGAGTTGAGGTCCTCTTTGCCTCAGCGCGGACTTCTCCACAGAGGCCGGGCAGTCCGGCAGCTGAGGTTACGATCACCTTCCCCGGGGATATTGCAGGAGGAGGGGGCACCGGCGGCAGCAGCAATGGAGGGGGGGACGTGACGATCGCAACCGCGGTGGACGAGATAGCATCATCATCAGCAGCAGCAGTGCTGGAAGAGATGGCAGCATCAATGCTGGAGGAGGAGGCACCGGCGGCAAGAGGAGCAGCAACAGTGGATGGGCAGGTGGCAGCAGCAGGAGGAGCAGCTGGAGGAGCGGCAGCAGTGGAGGTGGAGGACGCAGTAGCAGTGGAGGAGGAGGAGGCACCGTCGGCAGCTGCAATGGAGGGGGGGGTGGCAGGACTAATAGAGGAGGAGATAGCCGCACAGGCGAAGGTGCAGCGTGGGGGCGATGACGAGCGCCTCATGCAACAGTTCCTCACAGAGGAGCTCGATCCGGTCATAGCGGGTATGACCCCGGGTGTGGCGAGGGGGCTTGGGATTTCGGATTCGGAGATGGGGACCCCCTTAGACTTTGATTTGTCGATGGGCCTTCCACCTAGTTGCGGCAGGGCGACATCAAAGGATCGGGCTCTATCAAGGGACGAGGCGGCAGGACAAACTTTCACGCAGACTCTGAGGGAGAGGACGACGATTGAGTCTCCAGATGCAGCACGCGACATCATGGAGCGAGAGAGGGCTCGACTTTTGGCATCGAGTGACCCGCGTGCTCAGGTGTTCGCACGGGCCTTGGAGGAGGTCAGGCTTCGAGAGAGACAGAGCGGGTATTGTGTGCAGGGTGGGGTGATGGCCAGGAAGGACGTTGCGGAGGGAGTGGCAGCAGAGGCGGTCGATGAGGCATTGTCGGGTGGAGCAGAGGCAGCGGACGTTGCTGTGGAGGGACGGCCACAGGCGGGGGATGAGGTTGTGCAGGCGGGACAACGGCGAGACGAGGGGCTATAGACGTACGGCGTGTGGTCCAGGAGACAGCGTCGGGTGCAGTCGTTCTGTTTTCGGGCCTGCACTTGGCTCAGGTCCGACAATTGCAGGCGGTTTAGATGGCAGTGCGTGGTGTGCCACCGCCCGTTATCACGGATTTGGGGTCCGAACCGGTTGTTGTGCCCCTATGTCTTCCTAGCCACTTTGCTCCGCAGGAGGTCCGTCATCCTTTGGATGCAGAGGAGTTGGCGAGAGAGGCTGTGCGCGATGTTACCCGATTGGACCGGCGGATCTTCGACCAGAGGCTTGACCATCCAGCATGGCAGGCGATCAACGAAAAACTTTCCTAGAATTAAATAATCATTCGATAGTAAAATTACAATCTAAATTTCAAATTTTCATTCCATCTTAAAAAATGTCATGCCAATTTTAAAATTTTTCATCTTACTTGCAAACTTTCATTCCAAAAATAAGGTATCCCTTCTTATTTTGACTGCATGCTAGAGATGGAATGAAAGTCTGGATGAGTTCATGAAATATTTTAATTGAACTGTCATTCTAAGTAAGGATTTTCAATCATAAATAGGTTAATCCAAATCTAAATTACAAGATATTTGTTCTAGTAGAATGAAAATTTAATTAAAATATTTCATAAACTCGTCCAGACTTTCATTCCATTTTGAACAAATAGATGTAGTTGGAAGGGAAAGCTCATATTTAGATGGGAACTTATCAAATAAAACTGAAAATTCTAGAATTGGACGAACGTTAAACCATGCCCAAATAGCCAAACACAAGCTTTTTGGAAAAAGTCGAAACCACATGACTGATAATACCAAATCCAGGAAGAATTAAAATAGAACATTATTTTGGCTCACCGGCAAAAGGGAAGACCCTGGTAGAGCACGCCGCCGCTCTCGCGACGGATAGGACTTTCTCTTATTCCCTCTATGAAACCTCCGCCGAGTATCCAATAATGAATGCGTCGGTGCGGACAATCGGCAGGGAAGGAAGTCTAAGATCGTAAAGCCTCAACGACTTCACGCTAGACATCCCATATATATAAGATGGGATGATGATACAGTCTGAACTTCTAGGCGACTGGAAGCTCAAGCATTTCGCTTGGGATCTAATCAACACTTTGTGCCTCTAGGCTCAGGCTTGATTTATCAAAGTGTAGGTACTGGACCTATCAATTTTCATTTCCAAGCGGGATTAGATTAACACAATTGCCTCCGCTCCACCAAGGGTCCATTCGATGGTGACCTAATTTACTGGAGTCTTAGGTTACAAAAACATTTGAATTAAATCCATACCATAAGCAAGAGCAAATATCAATATAGATTCTAAGAAGAGCCATATGAGGCGAAAGTCTCACGTATGGTTCAGAAGCCGAGCCATATCAGCAATGAGATGGTTTAGGTTAACATGCTTGTCTGTTGAAAAAGCATTCGTGTGTGGCTTGCCAGAGTTGGAAAATAATAATTTATAAATATGAAGGACTTTTTTGTTTTATGGAATGTTTTTTCAACTTTCATTTCTCGTGGGAATTTTTCAATTGATTCCTTCGGTTCCATGGGGTCATGCGTCTGCCGTGTGGTCTGGGTCTACCTCCACCGGGGGACATGCCGTGGGACGTGTTCCAAGGGTTTCGGGTGGCATCTAGGTGACAGCGCCACGCACAGGAGACATGCCACCCCCTCCTCCTAGACCACCTGTAGGTGATCCATCATCGTCGCCCACAAGCAGAGGCTCTCGATCCCCGCACACGCCTGGGAGATGTAGGATTCGTGACACGACAGCAGTTCCGCAGGACATGTGTGACAGTGACACGACGTTATTCGGGAGGACAAACATAGATTTGGATTCCACCCGCCGTGTCACGGAGCACAGTGCACGCCTTCAGTCGGGCTTGGGACCCCGCGGCGCAAGGACGACCGCGGCGAGGGAGGTACCAGCATCGGGTTGTGAGCCTCAGCGAGGTGTTGGTAGAGGAGTGTCCAGCGAGAGTACACTCTGAGAGCAGCGACGCGTGCCATGCAGGAGTAGACTCCACGCAAGCATGGAGTGCCTCCTCGTCAACGCCCCGTGCCTGCAGTGGGAGGCACTGCACTTGGAGAGAGTTCGGGGGCGGAGGGGTTGGGGATGCCTCATGGATCCCGCCGTGAGCAGACGGTTGCAGAGGCTAGTGCGATGGTTCTTGTGTTGAGGAAGGGAGGAGACCCTGTCACCATCGAGGAGGATGATCCTGATATGGATGCGGTTGTGCGGGAGGAGGACGAGGACTATGAGGGCGAGGAGGAGACCAAGATCAGTTCCGATGGTGACAACAACGACGACTACGATGAGCCCCGACCTCCCCCAAGACCCCCACCGACGCGTGCATCTACACGCTCCGCTGCGCGGACTTCTTCATCCGCACGAGGGAAAAGAGGTCGACATCCGGCAGTGGAGGGGGTTCGAGGAGACAGAGTGGGAAGGGGAAGAAGGGTCGTTGACCGATGAGGCCAACATTCCGCTTCTCCCCTACTCGCACTGTACTTCGCCATGTTGTGCGATCCTAGTTTTTTTTGTCGTCTCGTCTTGTCTTACTATTGTAAGACACTTAGTGGTAGTGTGTGTGCTTTACTTGTTGGTGTGTATGATTTTGGTAGTAGTAGGGTGTTCGTAGAGTATGCTTCTGGTGCAAGTAGGTTGCTCGTAGAGTGTCGTCGGTTGCAGCAGTTTCAGCACAGTATCTCTGCAGCTACGACACGACTTGTAGACTACTGTTTCTTGTACCTTTTTCGACATGTGGTACCAGTGCCTTAGCAGTAGGATACATTGTATCATGTTACATTTTTTCATGTGTGATTTTAGTGTGAGGTACTTCACAATGTTCACGACTTTTCATGTATATTACATTTTCTATGTACATTACATTTTTCATGTACATTACATTTTCCATCTACATTTTCTGTTACGAGTGATGCACGTCGTGTGCATGACGTTGCGTGCCCATTTTTTTTTTCGGTGTCTGATTTTATATCTTTAATTGTTGTTCTCATTTTTAATTTCATTTCTTGCATTTGTTTCTTTTAATTAATTTTTGGCTTGGAGAGTTCGGTGCTTGTTTTCTTTTTGTTTCTGTCTTAATTGTTGATTCTATTTGCATTGAATGGAATACTAACTGATGTTTGGGGG